CATCGTTCATCAGTGAATGTGACTTCGTTCGGCCTGTAGGAACAATACACAGCTCGTGGGGCCAGGAGGAGGAAAAATGCCTTTGCTCCCGAGGCTGCGGCGCTCGGCTCGCATTTGGCGCTTCCCAGAGGCGCCCGCTCGGCCAACGCAGAAAAGGCGGCCCTAAGACACGCCTCCTCCTTTCCCCGCGCCCGGCGGAGGCTGGGCAGCCCCGGAGCTCGGTGGGTACGGCCTAGAAGAAAAAGGAGGGACTTCGGGCCAGGGGGAGTGTGCAGGCCCGCGCGGGAAGGGGAGGGGAGGTGGCCTCTCAAGGCTTACTCCCCGCCTTCGGGGGTGTGGGGAGTCCAGAGGAGCCTCCCACGCTCTGTCTCCTACCCTAAGGCGGGTCCGCCAGGTGTACAGCCTGTCCCGCGGTCTCGTGGGAAGGAACGAGGAAGCTCGCTCTAAGCCCCACCGTGCCGGGGTTACCCTTCACCTGCAGTCGGCGGTGAGGAGGTCCCGCCCCGCGGGGAAGGGCTCCAGATCCGGCCCTGGTGGGTTGGCGGCAGCCGACGAGACCAGACGCGGAACCAATCCCGCCAGAGCCCTGAAGAGTACGCACTTAAAATGGCCGCCCACCACCCGGGAGCGCCGCGGAAACAAGCCCCTCTAGCTAGCCGGCCGAACCACTCTTTGGTGATGGCCGCTGAACTTCCGGCGGTAAATACCGTGGAGTCTCCCGCGGCCACTCGGGCATGCGTACCGAGACAGCCGCCTCGAGCGGGAAGGAACGGCGCTTGCGCATTAGCCCAGGGGTGTGCCTTCAGTGCCTGCATAGAAGGGGGTGGGAAGTTGGCGAAGGAGCTAGTTTGCGCTTGCGCAGTAACATGTTCAGAGTAGCACTTGAGTCGAAGAGACTGGCGCGTCTAAAAGGCGCCTGCGTATTTTTTCGGTCCGGAGTGGTATCTAATCAGGAAAGTGGGCGTGGCTTCAGGGACGCCTGCGCTGAGCTCCTTCAACTAGGGGTGGGGCGAGC